CCCGGTCTTCCAGGACCAGGAGAGGCATGAAGTGGTAGGAGCAAAGGCAGGCATGCTAGTGTAGTCTCAGATTGATTGGGGAAAGCCCTAGAGAGGAGGACACTTAGGCAGCTGTGGGGACCTTCAGATTCTGCAACTGCTCATAGGGGAAAGACGTACCAAAGAAGAGCTGCTGTGCTCATTAGGCTTGGCACTCCTGTGCAGATACTATTTCTTTTTCTAATAAAGAGTTTTCATTTACTCAATGTTATTTATTGCTGGCTCACTTCTGACACCCGGAAACATTTTTAATAGGAAAGTTAATCCTATCCCCAACCTGCAGTGACTACCGAAGTCCTCTCCCTCCCCACGCACCCTTCTTCACTCCCACAAGTCTCCTGGTTAAACTTGCAGTTGGGCTTGGATAACCAACACTGGAGGTAAGCAAGCAAGCTGGATGTAGGGTTGGAGGAGAAATTCAATTCAGGTTGAAAATGAATCTGTCAAATCCACACTTTCTGAAACAATTGTTTGTTTGTTTGTTTGCAAATTTCTGCAGAAATGTGGATAACTGAATTTAGGGCTAGAAAAATGAGAATTTAGGGCTAGAAAAATGAGAAACAGAGAGAACAGAAACTGACAGATCCTTTCAACCATAGCTGACCCCTGATCTGAGGAACTCAGCTTTTTCCGGAGTTCAGAAATTATCTGTGAGTTTTTGTAGGAATATATCTTCAGATAACGTTTCACCCACAGAATCTACCGTATTTTTCGCCCTTTAGGACGCACCGGCCCATAGGACGCACCTAGCTTTTTGGGGGGGAAATCAAGGGAAAAAATTTTATTTCCCCCCCAGGTTTGCGCAGCCATCCCCAAGCTAGAAGAGGGAAACGGAGCACTCCGTCTCCCTCTTCTGCCTTCAGGGACAGCCTCTCTAGCTTCCATGGGGCAGCGGCTTGCCCCGCTGTCCCCCAAGCTTGTGGGGCTGGCGATGGGGAGAAGCAAGCTTGCTCCCCCCCCCGCCAGCCTCCAGACCAGGTCGGGGAATAGCGGAGTGGTGGTGCTGCGCCTCCCCGCTGTCCCCTGAGCTTGTAGGCTGCAGGCTGCTGCCCGCAAGCCTTGCGAGCCCGCGGGATCCCCCGCCTGGCTTGCAAGGCTTGCGGATAGCTTCCTGAAGCCTGGAGAGCGAGAGGGGTCGGTGCATTCGCCCCATAGGACGCACACACATTATCCCTTCATTTTTGGAGGGGAAAAAGTGCGTCCTATAGGGCGAAAAATACGGTAACTGCAATGGAAAATTCTTAAACATAATAAGTCATAATAAATCACCCAGTTGGCCAAAGGTTTCATCATTTGTAAACTGACACATCCTTTGAAATCCCAAAAACGAACTGGAGTTTTTTACAAACACAAAACCATAAATGCCACTTTCTTTTAGCGGAGTAAGGAGTGCTTTGAGTTAGCTGAAGCTGTTAATAAGTCATTCCTACTTAATAAACCTTTTAATGTGCTTCTGACTGGCTAGAGGCAAAACTGACTCTTTTTATGCCTGCACATCCAACAGTTAATCCTTAGTGACTCTTTACCTTAACCATTGCCCTTTAGTGGCTGTCTGGTATGTGAATTTGCATAATAGTGTACTACCTGCTATACCATTGTAAACATACCCTTCTTTGATTATGAAAAGTGACTTTTTGTTTAGGGCTTAGTGTGTGGCCTTACCAGGGATAGGCCATCAAGCTATCCCTTGAGTTAAGCGCTGGCTGTGAATTTCTTTTCTGGACTGTAGTTTTGAGGAGGAGGGAAAAGTGTGCTCCCTTAAAGCAAGGCTCTCATTATACTTTGCATGGTTATCAAGATACTGAAGGTAGACTGGCACTAGTTTCGCCATAGTGCTGAATGGGTAGAAGTGTCTGCTGATCCAGAGCTAATTGCTTGTACAGTGGTACCTCGGGTTACATAAGCTTCAGGTTACATACGCTTCAGGTTACAGACTCCGCTAACCCAGAAATAGTGCTTCAGGTTAAGAACTTTGCTTCAGGATAAGAACAGAAATCGGGCTCTGGCGGCGCGGTGGCAGCAGGAGGCCCCATTAGCTAAAGTGGTGCTTCAGGTTAAGAACAGTTTCAGGTTAAGAACGGACCTCCGGAACGAATTAAGTACTTAACCCGAGGTACCACTGTACATAGCCAGAGGTAAAGGGTTGCTGTCACTGTACCAGATTTAGCTAAACACACAAGCTGTGTACACACCAGATATTTAAAGCGCTTTACCTCCTCTCCCCCAAAAAAGAATCACGGGGACTATAGTTTTCCCCTCACAGAGCTACAATTTCCAGCACCCTGAATAAACTACAGTCCCCAGAATTCTTTGGGAGGGGAATGTGTTTTAAATGTATGGTGTGTATAATCTGAAAGCACACTATATATATTTTTTGTTCCAAGTCCCAGAGAAAATCAGTTTGCAGAGAATGTAAAGAGTTACCCAAATCTGAATTAAAATGGCCTGATCACTGAACACCATTCCTATATGTTCACAATAATTCATGCAATTTGGAAAGTGCTTGAACAGAAGAATTTGGTATGGAGACGTCTAAAAATAAACCTCACTGATAAAGCCTCCAGGCAGTGCAATGGATGAAGAGGTTTCAACCTTTTATTTTTAAATTTTTAGATGAGCAAAACATGGCTTTGGATTATTACATGTAAATCTGTGATATTTCATTTTACTATTATGAATAGTTTGTTTCAACTACACATTTACTGTAATTTTCATGACTGAAGGCATTTGTGCATTCTTGCTTTTGATCTCTCTAAGGCTGATGCAGTTGTTAACTTATTTATCCTTTAAGGCTAGCATGTGGTAATCCACAAAATTCATCATTCATAATAAAATTGGCTTCAGTCTTAAGCAGTTTCTTTGATGCCTTAAAGGCAGAACAATCAGCCATCTGGGCCATTTACTCCTTGAAGCAGCACATAAGCCCTAGACAAGCCAGGTTGCTGGCTGGTTTATACCAGTTTAAAACAACCAGTTTGAAATCAAGTAACTCGTTTTAAGCCAGTTTTAAAGCAATATGCAGGAGACTGGTGAGAAGTCAACATCTGGTTTCTTCTTTTGCAAAAGGGCTTCAATTCTGCTGTGTTGTTGGACTCTAACTCCCATCAGCCCCATCCACCAAAGCTGGGGAATTCTGCCTTTTTGTGGTTGTCATATAACCTCCTTGCAAACAGAACTAATGCTCAATAAAGATGAGGCATGGCCCTAACCTCTGTGTAAGTTTTTTGCAAGCAAATCAGGATGAATGCACAAGAAACACCTCTGAAAGAACACAAAAGATAGGCGTACTCAGCAGGCCTACCCATAAACTACATTGATTGAAAGTTATTTGGCATCACAGGCAAACAGGCCTGGCCCAAGGTATTTGCTGTCTAAGGAGAAGGACAATATGGTTTCTCCCTCTTTTCACTGTACAAAAGTTGACCAGATTGATAGTTGAATTGTTCTTTGACAGAGACAATGGAACAGCATCCTCTGCAGCACATGTGGGCAGCCGGCTAGATTAGTGGACACACAGCAGTCTGTATGGCACAGTGAGAGCCAATCCCTGACTTTCAGCATCTGCCGCCTGAGGCACCTGCCTCTGCTTAAAAGTAGGACTGGCCCTGCAGGCAAACCTTCCCTAGCCAGTAACTGTAGCAGATAAAGTTTCCAGTGCCCAAGCCAATTAAACTGAAAGAACTGAGCCAAAGGCAGTTTGCACATTACTAAGGGCAAATCCAACTGGAATGCAAGTAATGTTGCTGCAGATCAAGTGGAGATGGAGACGCATTATATATACTGAAAAGTGAATGCAAGGGCATACCTTCAGCAAAATATAACATCCTAGGCATGTGTTGACAGCATCTGGGCCTCCCTTCCCATTATAGTTTCAAATTAAAGTGAACCAGATGGTTGGACTTCAGCCTGCATAGCTGTAAAGTAATCAATAACATCAATGTAGGCTGAGTTTCAATGAAACAGGCTCAACGCTGGTGGGAAGACACAGAAGCTGAAAGTGCATTCTCTGAGGCAACCACAGCGGGTGCTACATTCCCCTCCAGGCTGCTGCTGCAGAGTTCAGAATAAGCGCTGATTGAACGCTAACACCACATTGATGAAGGCCTCTTTGCAGGCCTAATCAGCCTGCCTCTTGGCCAAGCCCTGACCCACAATTCATATGTTCTTTCAGCTCAATTTCCACCCAGTGAACGCCCTAGTGAACTGACAGTAGCGTGCCCAGTAAATCCCGTAAATGGGCATATTACACAACGAATTTCCTAAATACTTCATATTCACTATTGTTTCAGCAATGATTATGGCAACTCAGGAGTGAAAAGCCAGCCATTTCTATTCCCATGTTATAGAAGAAAACTGGGTCTGAAAGACTGGTTTGTCTAAGGCCACCCAGCGGAGTTGCCGAGCCCTCAGCCAAAGATGGTGCCTGGCCTTTTATAACAGGGGTAGGGGGGTTATCTTGAGAGCCACATTTTGTTGTTGTGTTTTATCTTCTGGGAATGAATGCTGTCAGTGGGCACGCACTCTCTCACACACACCTTCATACAAGAATGCACATATTCATACACACAACCCTCTCACAAATCTGTTTTCAGGCATAGCACGCACACCCTTTACCCAATCAGTCAGTCAGCCATCTATCCAGATCTATCCAGATTCTCGTTCTCATCCTCATAGCAATTAGGTTTGAAAAAAGCATTGAAGCTAATTACTGGAGCGGAGTGGGTGGGGAGATTCCGCAAAGAGCTGGAGATCGCTGGAGAGGAGGGCAGGGAAAGACACTAGCAGAACAGCAAGGCAATAAGTTTGTTTATTGGTTGCATTTACACCCCACCTTTTTCCTCCAAGCAGTTCAAGGTGGTGTGCATAGTCCTCCCCCTCTTCATTTTTTCCTCACAACTCCTCTGTGAGGTAAGTCAGGCTGAGAGGCAGTGACTGGTCCAAGGGTCACCCAGTGAGCTTCGTGGCTCAGCAGGGATTTGAACCCAGGTCTCCTTGAGTTCTGGTCCAAAACTCTAACCATTACACCACACTTGTGGTTCTGTGAGGTGTAAACTACAGTTCCCAGGATTCTTTGGGGGAAGGCATTGCTTTAAATGTATGGTATGTAAGTATCCAGAGACATCACAAAACTACAATGCTGTCTTGTCCACAGGAAATGAAGGCAGCAACCTGAAAGGTATTTACCAGGGAGTAAGCCCTACTGAACACCATGGAACTCACTTATGCATAAACATGTACAGGATAACACTGTAAACCCTGGAGCATAGCCCTGAGGCTTCTCAGTGCTCAGGCCAGGCAGGTGGTGAAATGCTTAACTCCCAGTTTGGATGGATTTAAATAATATTTTAGATATTCTAAGCCAAGTTGCTCTCATCCCCTTTATAGTAAATCACCCCATGCCTCTGTGGGGTGGGGTGGGTTTTTCCTTTCATTCATTACCAGGAGAAGTTTGCTCATGCACTTCTTAGACACTCAAGAGAGAAGCTGTCACTGTAATTCATGGTAGCAAATTGCACTGTCCCTTAAAAATGCTTCTCTTTCCTTATCCTGAAACTCCTGCACGTGTTTGGAGTTTATCTCACTCTGCTTAAACCATGAGTCAATACATTAGCAAGGATAGTGGAGATTCATACGTCCTCTGGTGTTTCATAGGCACAGGGAAAAGTTATATCCCATTGGTATAGTAATAACTGTTGCCAGTAATGTGTCTACAACAAGCATCCTTTTTTTTCTTTTTTCTTTGGTCTTGGGCGGGAATGAGGCAGAATCAGGGCAGCCCTATCATTAGGTAGAGTGAAGTGGCAGGTGCTGGGGTGGATGGAGAGGCAGCAGCGACAGTCATATTATTTCTGAGTCCCAGTGTCATTTCCTTTTGTCAGGGGACAGTGCTGTATACGCCATGTGACCTGTATCTCCCTTCTGTGCTTCCTATTTTCTGGTGTTCCAACAGCAGAAAATAATGAAGGAGGCAGTAGGAGATGCTGTGGAGGGATGGATGCCACCATCCATCTGATATTCATCTGGTCATGTCATTTCTACTTCCTGGGAAATAGGGGGAGAGCTACAGAGCTACAATTCCCTAAGTTCCCCAAGAATATGGATTGAGTGTTAAACCACTCCGACAGTTGTAGCTCTGTGAGGGGAACAGAGGACTATAGCTCCCAGGATTCTTTGGGGAAGAATCATAGAATCAAAGGATTGTAAAGGTGGAAGGGAGCCTGAGGATCCTCTAGTGCAGTGCAGGAATATGCAACTATCCCATACAGGGATCAAACTTGCAACCTTGGCATCATCAGCACCACACTCTATGCCTAGGAAACACCAGAGCATGTATGAATCTCCACTATCCTTGCTAATGTATTGACTCATGGTTTAAGCAGAGTGAAATAAACTCCAAACACGTGCAGGAGTTTCAGGATAAGGAAAGAGAAGCATTTTTAAGGGACAGTGCAATTTGCTACCATGAATTACAGTGACAGCTTCTCTCTTGAGTGTCTAAGAAGTGCATGAGCAAACTTCTCCTGGTAATGAATGAAAGGAAAAATCCACCCCAGCCCACAGAGGCATGGGGTGATTTACTATAAAGGGGATGAGAGCAACTTGGCTTAGAATATCTAAAATATTATTTAAACCCAGAGTAGCCGGAGCAACCCAGTCAAATGGGTGGGGTACAAATACATATATACATACATACTGTACATACATACATAATTGTTATTGTTGTTGTTAGCCATAACTCATTAAAAAGGCATAATAGTGCTTTAAATGTATGGTGCAGATCAGGCTAAATTTGATAAGTTGTGAATTCACATTGAGAAAGAACCTGGCTTCCTTTCTCTGTGGGGGCAGGAACAAAGTATACCCTTCAAAGTAGCCCCTGAAAATAAAGTCATCTTTATAATAGTCATTCAAAAGCCTTGCAAACATAAATTGGGAAAGTCAGGCTAGAAGGTGGGTGAGATTGAACATTTCTGCTACCACACTCTCAAAACAATGCACTTTGTGTTAGCTGGCAAAGGCCACATATAAACCTGAGCTACGTTAGAGAGCCACAGGAACAGAAACGATGGAAAGTTTTTGAAAGTTAATAATCTCTCACAACTAATCTGTTAAAGGGATTTCATCATTTGTGTTTGCAGTTAGGAAGATTTTACACACAGATAATGGCTGGTTCTCTCTTTCTCCTCCTTTGAAGTGCCTGATCAGAACTATCTTGAAATTTACACTGATACCAGCTATGCTGGAAATGGCATAGCAATCACCACATAGCTGGACTGCAAGAGTTTCCTCCTTTTTAATCTCCCATTCATGTCTGTTATCTCCATTTCAAAAGTACTGTACTTCAACCTGCTGTGGAGTCATCAGGAAGGCAAGTGCATAATCAGAGCTCTAAAACACTTACAGGAGGCTCCCTGCTGCTGACCTTTAGCCCTCAAAGGGAGACTTTGAAAAAGAAGAAGGTTAGTAAGGAGGAGGTGAGCTTGGCAGTGCACTTCTGCTTCACCCTTGCGCAATGAAGACTGCTCCTGTGAATGGGCTGGACCAACGGGGTTCTTAGGTGTTGCCCAGTTCAGTCAATCAAGACAGTAAGGAACACATGGAAGGGGTGGAATGTGACCATGTGTAACCTGTTGCATGAAGATAAGGGACTCATCCAGACTTCCATTTGTGCCATGATTTGCAGGCATGGGTCTGAGCAGTGTTTTGTTGTTTTGTCCCACTGCTTTCCATGGGAAAATCTGCTGTGTACCGCTGAATCAGAACAAACGGCATCTGTGAAAAACCAGATTGCCATTTGTTCCAATTCAGCAGAAACTCTGGGTTTTACTGGGGAAACTGGAGGGACCAAAAAAACCAACACACCCCACTCAGACCTGGGTCTTGATATCACAGACCTGGGCCTACAAATCACAGCACAAACAGAAGTTTGATAATCCCAAGAAAAGTTCCTCCAGGTGAGCTATTTATGGAACATTCATGCTGATTTGCTTGCACAAAGCTTACATGGAAGTTAGACTGTGTCCCATTTTTAAAGAGCCTGCATACCATTTTAATGTATGGATTACTTCAAAAATGATAAAATTCTTAAGGTATAACAAAAACTAATCTGTATAAGACTGTGTCCCTCAGAGTTTGTGGCCCCCTGAGCCTAAGGTGGCTGCCTCACTGGACTAATGATAGCACTGGCCTTGAATGAATGCAGAGCATAATTCTCCGAGAAAAAGTTTGGCAACCCTCATAGAACTCCATGGGTTTGACAGCTTTTCAGAAGCACCTTCATTTTGAGAGCACTTTCATTCTGAGGAAGCATTTCAGAAGCTTTCATTCTGAAGACTGTAGTATACCATGCAGAAATTCAACATGTGATGTTTTCTGCCCTGCAGCAGAAGTTATATGTGTCCATTGAATTTATTTCTGTCATGCAACTATTACCAGAATCGGAGCTCAGCCCGAGAGAAAAAAAGTAGAGGAGGCAGCCTTAAGTTGTGAGAGGAAAAGAACAGCATATTTCTAACTTCCTAGGTTTGGTCCTCACAGACCTTCCCTGCTAAACAAGTCCTTTTGCTTAATGAAGGTGAGCCCAGGGTTGCCTCAGTCACCAAGCAGGTGGAGCCTGCCTGCCACTGGTAACGTCACCTTCATGGAAGTGGCCTTGCTTGTGAAACGTATGCTAATGAACGGTGTGGCTCAGCATTTAATCACTGTGCATTTTTGTGTAGTAAGAACTAGTCCTCATTTCGTCTCACAGAGGAAAGCTGTGAGAAAGATGGAGATCGTTCAAGTTTATCTATGAACATTTTCTGCCTCAAAACTGTATTTTGAAGGATATCAGGCTAGCTCTTCTTGGTAAGAGTCATTTGAGGCAGAACCAATGCTTCTCAGCTTTCCCCAGACTGTCCGTGTAGTGAACATTAGTTTGAGAGACTGCCATGCCCACTGTAAAAAAAAAAAGGCACTGAGTTTCTCAGGAAACGGTGGTAACTCTTGACCTTTCTGTGTAAAACGTAAGGAAACGGTATTGCAAGAAAAGAGCTTAATCTCAGAGCTGATCTATGCAACATCACTGATAACAGTGGTGGTAATACAAAAGTTGTTACTTTATTGGCTGATCAGTGCAGTACACATCTCTATGCTAAACACATTTCTATGTTCAAAGTGTTTGGAATCCTAGTGAGGTGAAAGGTAGTATATATATAGATAAAAACACTTGTTTAATATGAAGTCAACAAAGAACTCCAACTGTGATAGTCAGCAGGTAAGAGGAATGAGGTTTGGTGGCACATCCTTTAATGGAGGGTTTTATATATCTTAATTCTGAAGCAACCAATGGTTGTCTTTTCATTCATCTCTTTAACTTGACTGATGCCACACACCTCTCCCCACAGCTACTACTTTATCAAAATTTCAAGAATTGGTACATGCAGAGCAGCACACATTTTTTTGAATAAGGCTATGAATGCCAGTCTCCAAGTAGCATTGTCAGTCAAAATTAATATGCAAAGTTGACAAATCAGTACCAACTTTAGGAACCAGTTCAATAAAGACATCCTATTAAACAATATCCAGTGAGGGAGGTAGCCAGTTAGTCTGTCACAGCAAAAACAAGGGAAACTTCCAGACTGTCACTATTTCGGAGTGGGAATCAATGACATACTGACAAATTCAGCTCATGCAATTAAAGCAGATTTTGAGCTCTTGCATGACAAACCTGCTTCACTTAAAGATTGGACTTTAGTGGGGAGAGTGATGGGAAAATGCATTGGGAAGTGTGGGATATCACTTGCTTTGATGAAACATCATCTAACCTCCCCACAAACAACTCAGAATGAATGCTCATTAAATAGCCAACATCATCTAATCTCCCTGCAAAAAGATCAGGATGAATGCTTAGTTAACAGGTTGTCCAGTTTAAGTGAAAGAATATTGTGGCATCTTCAAGGCTAACATATATATATTATGGCATACATTTTTGTAGACTAGATTCCACTACATTCATATGCTTCTGATGAGAGTGTGCTAAACAGTTTGG